ACTCGAATAATCCACGTTTTTCCTCCAGGATCCAATAATGATAACGAGTTTACAATACTTAGTCCATTTCATACAACAAGAGTTCTTAGAAATACATTATTACAATACTAAGTTCAGAGTGCGGAATTTAAACAGCGGAATTACAATAAACATCTAACAGTAGAATATAAGGATCCGTCTGTGCCCAGCAGAAGAATCCTCCACATAACAGCTACTCTTCAAACTGCACCTGCAACAGGGGTAATAAACCCTGAGTACACAATGTACTCGCAAGACTTACCCTACTAGTCAGAATAATTTCCCGACTCCAAAGGATATGATAAGTTTTATGGTTTGCTGTGTTTCCTTTTTGCAAAAAAAGTAATACTAGTAGTAAATCCTTATGTATGTTTCTTTTTAGCAGTCATGATTAGTTCATTATCTAACCATTCTATGTAAGCACATGTTCTACTTTCAAGCAAGAGTTGAGCAAATAGATCCATTTCACAATTTTTCATCTTCTAGTTCTTACTACGGTGCTAGACTATAGACAAGTCGTATCGGATTACCCCGCCTCCAATCAGTCGGTCCGAAAGAGCCAGAACCCACGACAAGAGAGCAACGAGCCTTTCTGCTCCCATAAATAAGTATGTGCTTAGGATAATAAGTCTGTGACCTGACTAGAACCCAATGTAACGATCGGTCCTTAACCGACACGGACAGGGAAAATAGTGTAACCAAGCTATGCCCTGTTGGCCGTAGAACACAACCTCTTACATCCACCAATACCCATACCATATCCCTACCCGGTCTCCATTTCTTTTCACCATTTTATTATGAGTGTGGTAATAATAATCACCTATTATGATTAACGGTAGGTTACTCACACTACCAAAAAACCTAAGCATAGCAGCTACTCAACCTAAGCTAGTAGGACTCATAGGTAGGTATATCTATGCATGTAGTTTCAATATAAATCATGTAACATAAATGCACATCATATATATATTTTTAGTGATTATTCAAAATAAGGGTTATGCACCAGGGCTTGCCTTGGGCAGGCGGGTGGTCAGCTATGTTAGTCGTCGATGGCTCCGAGGCTTTCGCCTGTACGAAGACCTCCTCCTCGTACTCCTCAATCACCTCCTCGTATTCCTGCTCTCCAGCGGTCATGAACTCCACAATGCGTTCTCTACATGCATGCAATGATGATGCAACACTTAGCATTTTAGCAACAATAGCTCTTAAAATAACAATACATCTACCAAGCTACTAAGCTAACTCTAATGACTAAGATGCTAAGCTACCCATCCTTTCCATTAAACAGGTATGAAACATTCAAGTATTATCTTAGCAACCAAAAATACATTTCTTACTTTATTTACGATTTCATATATACTAAAACAAGGAGTACTTAGCTACCCTATTTATCAACCTATTCTAAGGCTACAAAAATTATAGTGAGCACATAATAATACAATGAACCTACTGTAAAAATTTCAGGGTTTTGCTATCACCAATCTACCACAAAAATTTCTACAATTATTTAACCTAATCATATTAAGCACTCTCAAATGATTCAATAGCCACTAGTATCAACAAATATATATATATATATATATGAACTAAATACACTAATAGATAGAGCACAATTTTAGGAACCTAACAAAATTGGTTTCACAATTTTTGGACATCTACAGAATTTGCTATAATTTTCCAAGGATCAACTCAAAACTAAATTATAAAAACATTTGCTAATTTGCTGGAAAAAGGAAAACCAATTCTCGCGCGGCCCATACGCGTGGTCCACATACGCGCAGCGTGCGCGCACTCGCAACCCGTAGGCGCGGCCCACACGTGAGGCAGCCTGTGGTGGGAGAGTCCCACGCGTGTTAGCTTTTTTGCAAAAGAGACCTTACATTTCCCCTAATTCGCAACCAAGGACCAACACTATTTTACTTACTCACAGACCGTCTCACTTAACCCCTCGACCTTTCTCTAATTTACCTGCGCGCACCACGGCGGCTCAGTGCGCGGCGAGCGGTGGCTTAGCACGGCTACGCCGGCCACCTAGGGCCACCACTGGCCCGACGGTCGGACCGACCTCCATCCCTAGTTCAACCAGCTACACCTAGCGGCAGCGCGGGGCAGCGAGACACGCTGGAGCCAGCCACGGCGATACGTGACCGTCTACGATGGTGGCGCGACTGCCTCGGTGAACTCAAGCATCAAAGAACCGGGGCAGTCGTGCCAACTCAAGCATCTAGCTAGCGAGTGAGCATTAATAGGCTACCGTGAGACTAGCTGTGGTGACCGTTGGCGAAGAGAGTGGCGGAGAGAGCTGGCCACGTGCAGCCGAGCCGTGCGGCGACGCACCGCGGCGGCACGGTCACGTCAGCGGTGAGGTGGAGCTGGTAGCGACTAAGCCGAGGCACGCATAATGAAGAGGAAGGCAAGGCATACCTACTGGCGTAGGCAATTGGGTTCGGGTGGAGGGATGGGAGGTCTACCCTCGGTGGTGGTCGTGGCGTGGCCTTAACGGCGCACCGGCGAGAAGACACCAAATTGGCGCCTGGCCGGGCCATCATCAAGGCGGTGAGGGGTCGGGTGACGAGGAGATGTGAGGGCGAAGGTGCGAACAAGCCGAATTGAATAGAGGTGACCTATCTCTGGCGCACTTGTGGGGGCAAGGCGGCGGCAGAGAGATGGGACGCAGTGCGAGGATGGTGGAATGCGGCTAGGGCTCTGTTGTGTCATGCCTTGGCGGGACGCGGTTGACGTAATCGTAGCGACCCAGTCTAGCCACTAGCGAATGAGCACGCGCGTGTTCACGCTGGCCTGGCCCGCGTGCCGCAGTGCCATCAATGGCGTGGCGACGGTGGGTGCAACCACGTGCATGGAATCAAACTAGGCTAGGGCGTGCACGTGGCGACGGCAACGACAGTAGGTGTGTCGCGATGCATGGCGGACTTGGCAGCACGGCAGCGCGGCACGGCCGCGCGGCAGCGGCGGCGGCCTCACACGGCAGCGCCCATGACTATTCCCACGGCACACGGCCAGCCCAGTGCGGCAACCCGCGGGCGCGCGTGAGGCACACCGACGCGATGACGTCGACCACTGACGCGCGGTGATCGCGTTCACGCGGGGGAAGCAAACCAGAAACGTGCTGTGCACGGATTTTAAAGCTTCTACCGCGACCAAACCGTTACTCCTAAACATAAACGGTCTTCACTACACTCAAGATGGTATATGAGGCTACTTCATCAAGCTATAACACTACATCGCTCTTTAACCTAATTCCTCAAAATAGTTTGCTAAACATAGCAATGTCTAACTGTCAACAGACTTGGAAATTTTTCTAAGTTCTGAGTTGAACTCTATTTCAAATTACATTTCTAAGCTATTAGAAATATTAGCTAGCAAGGTTATTTTTCAACAGCAAGTATTTCATCGTCTTCTACAAAGTTCACACTCCAAACTTTATTTAAGCCCCATATATAAGTTCTATAGTAATTTTACTCAATAAAAATTGTTTTACAACCATACTTGATAATTATACGAATCGTGGAGTAACTTTTCATTTTGCATTCTTATTGATCGTTTTAGTTGAAATACTTCACCTATTCGTTTCATCACATGTATTACCCCATAAGTATGATGCTCATGACGTGTTTTAGTAAATGATTTAGGGTGTAACACCGAGGGTGTTACAATTGATCAGTTCTACAACTTTTATGTTTATGAGTTTTTCAACCGAAATCATTTTTTGCTTCAAAAGGTTGTTTGAAGTTGCCATTTTAGGAAATTCAAATTTTGAATTGATAAAACAAAGTCACATGAAAAAATGGCTCAAATAATAGCTATAAGAACATAATAAATTGATAGAGCAAGATTTTAGAAAATTTTAGCAAAAAATCATCAAATTTGAAGTTAGTATGAGAGAGAAAGACTAGTTACAAGTTTTAGTCAGAGATTAAAAAAAGAAATTAGAGTTCTTCAACAATTTAAAAATCAAATTTCAAACAGCATTTTGAAATAGTAAATGATTTCAAATGAAAAAGTTGTAAATAACAAAGTTCTATAATTTTTAGATCTATAACTTTTATTTTGGTCATTTCTCCATCAAGGTCGTTTGAAAAAATTTAAATTTTAGTATTTAATTTTTACTATTCAGCATCTATTTATAGGGATGACTCAATATAGAGCCGCCTATTTGTAGGGTTGACTCAATATATAGCCGCCCCTACAAATCTGATTTATAGGGACGGTTGGATATAGAGTCGTCCCTACAAATGTATTTGTAAGTGCGGCTTGTTTGGGAATCATTTGTAGAGGCAACTCTATAGAACCGCCTCTAAAAAAGAAGATATTGCTATAAATCCTTTCTGTAGTAGTGTCAATTTACACATCTAGGTTTGTAAACTTGCTAATTATATCATTCAAGGTTCAAATAGCAATAATTAGCATATGCTTGTCCATGTGGCTTGCCAATGTAACCTTAACTCTCCCCCACCCTTGGTGACTAAACGTGGATTTTTTCTCCCTAGATTTCAATAGACTGGATTTTTTTTACACGTGGTCCAAAAGTCCAAAAAAAACATGGATTGTTGGATGTACTACACGCAAAATCCAAACATCCACGAATCAACCGTGAAGACAAAAATCAATTGCCGTGATGGATACGTAGCCATGTCAAGTAGACAGATGTTACAAGTAGACAGAAACCAATTATGGTGATGTCTATGTAGCTAATAGTTAGTCATGATCTTGTTTGATCCTTAGTAATAAATTAGCTAATATCTTACCTACCACCCAACTAACAATTAGTTATTAGCCGCTTTCTTCCACCTAACACAGCTAATGGTTAGTTGGGTAGATCCAAAGAGAACATTAGATCTCAAGGTTTGTAATTGAATAGTTGCTAAGTGGCACACCCTAGCTCCAAACAAGTTTGAAAGTACCAAATGTTTATTTTTTTCTCTAATTGATGATTAGACGTGTATAATACATGACTCCTCCGTTTACAAGTTGTTCCCGTGGGTTGGCAGTGCAGTGCGACCCCTCGTGCCGGAGGCTGGGCAGAAGATGAGCTGATAGTCCACGGTGCCATTGCAGGTGAAGGTGCTGCTCCGGTCGTCGTACGCGTAGCTATACGCCTGCGGGCACTGCGCCTTGAACAGCTCGGAGTAGCCGCTCGGTTTGCACGTCGCCGGCGACGCGAACTTCCCGCGGCAGCAGTACTCGTCCGTGCCGAACGCCAGGCACGCGCTCTTGCAGCCCACCACCGCGTCGTCGCCACTGCCGCCGTCCTTCCTCGCCGCCGCCGCCGCTGCTCTCACCGCCAGCTCGCTCGGGCACACCCGGTTGATGTCCGCGGGGCACGATGTGCTCCGGCATCGGCCCCCGGCGGCGGGCTCGATCTCCACGGGCAGGTTGAAGCCGTCGACGTTGCTCACGTCGTAGAAGTCCAGCTTGTTGCCGCCGCCGCCGCCGCCACCGAGCGTGAACTCGGCCAGGGTAGCCGGCGGGGATCCGCCGGCGCCGTTGCACGCGACCTGCCCCGTCCCGCAGTCGCCGGACTCGCAGGAGAAACGCGCGCCGCCGGGGGAGGAGGTGGCCGTGCAGCGGTAGCGGCCCCACACACGGCCCGACCACGTGGCGCCCACGCCGGAGAAGGAGACGGAGGCTCCCGGCGGCAGGGGGAAGCCGGTGGTCGGGAACGCGGGGCCGCTGGAGGTCAGCGTCGCCGGCCAGACGGTCTCCGGGCAGTTGTTGCGGAAGGTGAACTTCACTGCCGTCGCACCTGCATGTCATTAGCGTGCACAAATTTGATATATACAAGAAAAGAACGGCGTGTCAAAATACAAATTTGATTGCATCCAACGCGCGTTGTTAATTGCTACTCAATTTCTGCCTTCCGATCGTGTGATCCAATCAAATAGATAAATTACGTGTATCCAATCATGCGAACTTGATCAATGAGAAGATCAATTTAGGCCGAATTAATTTAGTTTCATATTGCTGAAAAGGATAATCAGAGTGGGTGTCATCTACATGAGTGAATTTTTCTAGGGTTCTTTATATGTGTATCAAGCATGAACTTTACACATTCAAGTTGCAACCTCGCAAAAAAGAGTGAATTTGTGTGGTTGAATTGTTTCCTGTGTATTCTACACCAGATGAAAAAGAGGAATGTCCTTATTTTTACATACAAGCTCGGAGCTATATATGCCAAAGGGCTATATGGATATCGATTTAAGTTTGGTTAATTCAACCTTTTGCTACCACTAGTGAAATAATTCAACACAACAAAGTTTGTTTTTTACGTTAAAGAACCAACGCCATTGTTTAAGTTTAACATGATGACGTAGTCTCCAAATACACCCTTGGCCAAATAATTCCCTTTCATTCATGTTCTTTATTGAACATATAAACTGTCACTTGTGTATTACAGGGTTGCTTTCTTGTACAAAACAAAGAGAGAGAGAGAGAGAGAGAGAGAGAGAGAGAGAAGAGAGAGAAGGTGTAGCAATAAACAAACGTTTAAATGTGTACTGCAATGTGCGTACGTTATTGACGACATGGACATGCACGAAAAGCTCACAAATCTCGATTTATATTCATGCATATAAACACATGAACTAAAAAAGTATATATAAAAAATAGAAGTATGCACAAGTACATATGAACGAAACATTAATTAAGGAGATCTTAGAAATTAAAGAATTTATTAGAAGAGTGATAGGGTCGATCTTTTTTTTATTATTATTACAAGCGGTAAGCACCTTTATAACATTTTTTATGGCTTAAACAAGGAAATCTTAGAAATTAAAGAATTTATTAGAAGAGTGATAGGGTCAATCTTTTTTATTAGTATTACAAGAGGTAAGCAACTTTATAACATTTTTTTAGAAAAATAAACATCGTATATATTCATACCATTTGAATTTAACTGCATATCATGAATGCTCACAGTCACAGCTAGCTTGGAGGAATGAGTGCACTGGCAGGCCAGCATACCAATTGGGCGTGTCTGTCTAAATTTCGGTCTCGCTTTGATGAGACAATTCATGGATCCTTTTATGCAAAACTAAACGCAAGTAGGAATCCTTGTTTTCTTCCTGAATTAACAAAGGTTTTGGGATCCATCCAAACTTCAAAAGACTTTGAGAAACAACAATGTCACGGCCAAAATGCTTAAATCCCAACACAAATGTTGTACGCATATAAAAAGTAAAAACAGTTGATTTGAAAGGAAAAAAAATAGAAGGACGATACTGCGCGAAAAAAATGAAATGTCCCACCAACATTAAACCTATGGCTCCATATTTCATCCTCACGCTTGACACAATTTTTCCAGTTGGGTTTTGCAGTGTTATTTCAAATATTTAATTTGTTAGGGGTGCCTAGAGCAACAATCAGAAGCCTGAGAAACGCACAAGAGGCGTTGGGAATCAAGAAATTAAGGATGAGGAGAAGAGTCGTCTTTTATGCAACTGCTGCTTCAATGATCTTATATATGCATGTACAAACTCAGAAGTAAAAAAAGAAGTGTGAGTATTGCATATATACCATGTGTACTGAGAAGGAAGGCAAAGAAGACGATGAGATGGAGATCAGACACAGCTCCGTCCATGGCCATCGACGCTGCTCTGCTGCTCTCTGCCTCTCTGAGAGAAGAGGAGAACCCGTCCTATGTAACATACATATATATACATGTGCCGGAGGGCTGGATGCGGCTCCGTGCGTTCACTCATCCATTCCGTGGAGATACTCCATGTTTTAACGTACACGCATGTTGTTGAAGCTAAACAATGCTTGTATCTAGTAGCATGGTGCTATGGACGTCACCCTCTCTTTGGCACTAACCTGCACTGACAGAGGGTTCACCTAAATACCTAAACACGTTTTATCTTGATTGAGGTGCGACAGGATGGCACATGCATTAGACGAGAGTCACAACTAAGAAAGAACCATAACGAAACTGTTGAATCAATAGAGGTATCAACACCTAACTCCGCTGCCTGCCGCTCAACGTACAGGTCCTGTTTGTGATGTCAGAATAGAGTTGAGGGGTACCAACTATAGCTCCAAAGGAAATACGCAATTTCATTTCACACATCTGGAACCAGACAGATACAAGAGGGTTAGTTGAGCCTAAGTTCCTGTGGCCTGTGAGTGCCCATGACCCATACAACAGACTAACCAACCCGAGTTTTCATCTTCACGCCAATGGTGCAGGCACCAGCCAAGAGCAGCTGTTTGACAACTTCATGCTCAGAATGACCTGCAAACTAAACTGTTCGAGCTTTTGGTTGCAGGGATTCAATCAGAAAGGACAAAGGAAAGGTACGAATGCCAAAGGTATTCAGCATGAAGGTCACTATGAAAACCGTCCAATTTCATGACACATATATAGTTTTAAACAGCACCACCCTGGCATGGCCTTCTCTAGAGGCCTGGTGCCGGACGGGGTTCAAACCCTAGCCGGATGGCTCCTCCCTTGGAGCCTTAAGCCCTTGACCACCGGGATATATGCCCAATTCCAGCACATATATTACAAGAAACCTCTAAACATTTGCCCAATTCCAGGTTTCCAGCACATATATGACAGGAAACCGTCTGCCCTGCACCAGTTAGGTGCCTGTCAAGATTAATTTGCACTTCGATGAAACTCGATGATTTAATTGCAAGGTACTCGATAATTTAAATGCAAGGTGACCAGCAGAACATGAATGATTCAAATCCGCTAATGTTCATCAAACCTTGTGTTCCATCCACACGAATATTTGTTTGCAATTCAAGAGGCCAATGCAAAAGATGATATAGGTTTTAGTGGTGGATCTAAACCATCAAGCTCATTCTATCGATAGCACATGTTATCACTTTACTACCTCATCGGTCATTTCCACTTGATGTCTCACCTAATTAGTCAATTGCACAGTCCATCTTAAGATGGATCAGGATGAAACTTCAGTGTATTTGTATGGACCACCTTAAAACCTAAACTTTTGGCACATAATAAATCAAATTCCATGACCAAATACCCCGAAAGAAATGAAGTAATCATCATCCGTTTTTCAGCTTCTGAGCAAAGGAGTGATGAATCTCTAGTCAATCCTCATATCTAAATGGTACCATTAAATCTTGCAGACCAGTGAGCACACATGAACTATTGTAAAGCATGTTGTAACAGATTCCCAAATCATGCTCGAATTGTGGTGAGCTTCTAGAAGCACCGAAACTATTATTGATGTAAGAAAATTCTGCAAATTTTTTATTGTATAGGAAGTTAGATTTTCAATACTCAAAAACAATAACTCAGTAAAACAAAGTTAACCCTGGCAAACAACTTTTTCCACATTTTCTTAAAAAGAGACTACACTTTTCCTAGGTTGATAACAAAATTCAGCAGATTGCATGATCAGGAAACACAGAATATATTCATTCCATACCTTCCAGGCAGTGTACAAGATTCTAACTATCAGGGATACATCACAAACAACACGCTAAATTCAATGTAGAGGAACAAGCAGCAATTTAACATTGAGAAGCGTCAGCTTACTTTTGCAATATCCTCCCTCTACTCAGGGGTTTGCGCCAATTGCTGCTGTAGCACTATCCCATAACTCCACAGACAGCTTATCAGCTCTGGCCAATGCCATCCTGCTGCCACCAAATGCCCAGCTCACAATCTTGGGCTTCGTGGATAGTTCGCTGCCAACCCAATTCCTCCTCATCACCTTCTTCCCACCGGCCTCCGGTGCCAATTCCACCTGACTCCACACCTCGACGTCCGCGCCCTGTGCCACAAACACCCAACTGCAGTAGCACTCAATTCTACAGCCATTTCTCTCTTTCCTTCCAGATGATGCGGCTGCTGCAGCCTTCTGTCCATCACCAATGCACACCCAAGGCTCCAATCCAATGCCTCCACCGTCACCAAGCCTCCTCAGGTCAGCCATGAACACCTCGCTGGAGGCGGCACCCACCTTGAACACTGCTGACAATGCGTCAGACGCCGCAACATCAGCAAAGCAATCCTCCTTCTCCCTGACCTCCCACACCGGTACAGTGGCGCTCGCTCGGACATCCCAGAGTCGTATGTCCCCCACCACCCCGGCCGGCCCTGAGTGAGAGCCAGCGGCGAGAAGGAGGCTGTGCCCACCAAGCCACGCGAGCTTGGTCGCTGGGATCGCAGCCTCGACGTCCGCGCCGAACACCTCCTTCCGCCCGATTTCCGCTACAGGAGACAAGGAATTGAGGTCGAACACCACCACGGCGCTCGAGTTCCGCCGCGCCGACTCGAAGCTGGAGAAGAGCCAGGGCGGCGACGGCGCTCCTGACGCGGTCGTAGTGGCCATCGACAGCACGGTAGCGGAGGGCGAGCCCAGCCACGAAAGCACGTCCGGATCAGTAGAGGCGACGGAGGCGTCGTCGGAGAACCGGCAGAGGTGGACCCCGGGGAAGTCGCGGGCGCCGGCGAGGGCGAGGGCGGGGGACACCGCGACGAGCGAGTCAACGGCGGGGAGCGGCGTGAGGACGCTGGTGCGGGAGGCGAGCGCGGCGTCGAAGCAGGTCACGACCCCGCCATGTGCGGCGACGAGGGAGGCTGGGTGCGGCGGCGAGGGGCACAGCGTCACGACGGAGGGCGCGACGCGGCCGGTGAGAGGGAGGAGCGCGGAGGGGCGCAGCGAGAGCGGCGCGAAGGCGGAGGCCGGGGAGAGGGAGGCGAGGAGGGCGCCATCAAGCGCGAAGTGGCGCGCCTCAGCGAGGAGAGCGGCTGAGGGAGGGGACGGCGCGAGGAGGCGGCCGTGGCGGAGGAAGGAGAGGAGGTGGGCGAAGAGGCGCGGGTCGCCGTCGTGGAAGTGCGGGGCAGAGGGGGAGGAGGGGCCGAGGGAGGCGAGCGGGGAGGAGGCACCGGCGCGGGAAAGTGTGGCGGTGGTGGTCTGGAAGAGCTCACCGCCGACGTTGAGGGAGACGACGGCAGCGGCGGAGGCCATGGATGGGTTCGCTGGGTTGGGTTGACTTCCGCAGTTCCGCCCCTTGGACTCGACGGTGGCATGGCCTTACCAAGGGCGGAAATAAAGGGCAGTGTTTGTTTGGAGCACTGGGCCTTCATGCAATGTTTCGGCCCACGTCTTGTTAGTCCTTCGATGGGAAAAAGGTTAATTTTGTCTCTCTAAATTATTGTTGTAGTCTAAGTTTTCTCTTAAACTAAAAAAAATTAGACCAAACTGAATTTAAAAAATCGACCACACTGTCTTCTTGAACTCCAAAAATCATTTTAGTTATTGCCTCTGCTCTGGATAAAATTGGTTGCCATAGTGATTTGTCATATTTTTAATTAATAGATTTTTGGTAAACACTTAATAAGATTTTCAAGCTTCTAAAATTTTCAGGAAAAATTATTGGGACACAAGAAACCTTAATGAAATACTAAAAATCATAAAAATATGTCTACAAGCTTCTTTAAAAATAGATTTAGTACTAGGAGTATGCAAAAATATCTAGAAAATATAGACAATTCCTAAAACATAGGTAATCAATGTATAAATGCATTTAAAAACTTTCCATAACAAAAACGTGATATGAAACCAACATAAATGCAACATATCACATATGTCATTTGTTGAATGCATCCGTGCTGAATGTATTCATGTTTGTTGCATCTTGTATTTTTGTTGTGTAAAGTTTCTAAGACATTGATTAGAATGTTTCTTTGGATTCTTCTTTGTTTTTTCTGCATATTTTCCCTTTTTCATAGAGCTAAATTTAACTTTTTGGAAGCTTCTAAATATATTTTCATGATCTTTAGATATTTTATTTGGGATTATCATGTCCTAATATATAGCTAGGGTTCTTATAAAAAGTTTATGACTTAGAGGTTTTTCATAGTTTCAAAACCTTATGTAGGTGTTTAGCGGAATTATTTGAATTAAAGATGATAAAACTACTATGAAAACCACTTCTAATCGCGACATGGAGGTAATTTAAGCGTTTTTTGGAGTTGAGGGAGGCACTTTGCCCAAATTTAAAAATTCAAAGAGGAAACATGGACTAGGGTGATAGCTTACGGAGGAACGGATTTTTTTTCATCTAGAACATAGTTTTCTTCATGGAACATTTTCGTTTACCTCTAGAACGTCATATTTGATCCGCTGAAAATTCTTCGTCACAGAAACATTTTTTCTAGCTCGATCACGGAAAATGGTCTTCGGACGCTACCGCCTAACGCTGTTACGAGCTCTGCACATGATCAGTTGATCACTCACATCTGCACGCAATAGACAGCAGTTCAGGTACAGCCAGCCTAGGGCCTAGCGATGATTTTTTTAAAAAAAAGAGCCGAAATGAAAAAAAAAATACGACGCCTGAGAGATTCGAACTCTCGCGGGGAAACCCCATGTACTTAGCAGGCACACGCCTTAACCACTCGGCCAAAGCGTCGTTGGATGGCTGCAAGTAGGATATGTAGGAATTTGTAAGGGTAAGTCGACTAGAATTGTTCCCACTCTTTTGTCCCCCACTGTTTTGCGCGATGGCTTTATTATATAATATATAATGGTGATTGTGAGGTCACCATTAATGTGTTATCCTATTTGACGCATTCTGGAACATGTGGAAGTGCTTCATCAATGCACAAATCTTCCACGCAAGCAAAGCAATGCTCAAAGGAATCAGGATCAAGCAAGATTTTCAGAACATTCAGCTGTCAACAGCAGAAGCATGAACCAGGGTGTCCACTTTGTGATAGGTAAGATTTTTGTAGAGCAGATGTTGCACACCTTATCTGTAAACTGCTCGCCTAAATTTCGCCCTAGATGTAGGACGTGTGTCGCCTGTATATTACCTCTTCTCCATAGCTGTCAAAGGCATTGTTTTAACCAACAGTACTGATCTCGAGTTTGCTCAATTTTGCAACCCTAGTATAGAATACAAATTATCTCAAAAGGATGAAGATGAATTCAGTCACTAACGATAGGTGCCACAATCCTGTTGAGTAGTAATACTAATCAACTATTTCAGCCAAATAACCACTCCTTAATGAAATATGCGTGAAGTCGTGTTCTCGAGAAAAAAAAATTCAGCCAAATAACCGATAACAGATTTGTCATGACTTCGCCACCAATTAAGAAAAGGAGCTAGAAACACACCCATGGTTTGGCAATCCGGAGAACATAACACATCTTTCATCAATACAAAAATGGTTGATCAAACAGATCACAATGAAGCAACATGTGCATTGCTTCATCTTCATGCTTAGACAACGTGTAATTAATATAACCAAGATTACAATATACTAAATAGTGTACATCTTAAATTGGGTGGACCCTGGGTTCAAACCATCGTCTGTGCGCAACCAAGGTGGATGGACGTTACCTGGCAATGCAGAATATAACCAAGATTACAAATACCAATAGTGTACAAAAGAATAAGACTGCAACAATCAATTCAACAATCCTCAAAGTTCAAACCACGACGGTCACTACACTAGCATTGCTACTCCGAGCTGCTCTGCCTGCGCTGCGGCAGGTGGCCACAGGATGCTCCTTCTCCTTCTCTTCTTCTTCCTCGGCGAACCACGGATGCTGGAGCGCGGCCGCGGCGGTGAGCCTGTCCCGTGGCTGGACGGCAAGCAGGCAGGCGAGGACCTCGCGCGCGCCCCGCGACAGATGCGGCAGGCCCTGGAACGTCGGCCAGTCGTCGAACGCCTGCAGCCTCCTCTCGGCGAGCGCGTGCCCCAGTTCCGTCACCCTGGCGACTATGCCGTCCTCCGTCTCCTCGTCGAACATGAGCTTGCCCGTGAGGAGCTCGGCCATGACTCACCCGAGCGCCCAGACGTCGACGCCGGGGCCGTAGTCCCGGCGGCCCGCCAGCTGCTCCGGCGAGCGGTAGAGTAGCGTGCCCACGCGGCGCTCCGGGTACGCGTACGCCGTCGCCGTCCCCTCGGCCGGCCTCGCCGTCGGCGTGGCGAGCCCCAGGTCGCAGATCTTGAGCGCGAAGCCGCCTCCGCTCACGAGGATGTTGCCGGGCTTGATGTCGCGGTGGATGATCCCGGCGCCGTGCATCCGCGATGCGCCGCGCAGGAGCTGCCGCATGAACGCGCGGGTCTCGCCCTCCGAGAAGCGCGGCCGCGTCCTCTGCAGGCGCAGCAGGCTGCCGCCGGCGACGAGCTCCATGACGAGGAAAGCGTCCCCGGTGGCCGCGTCCACGACGACGTCCCGGATGCCCACGATCGACGGGTGGCCGCGGCACGCCGCCATGCAGCCGGCCTCACGGAGGATGCGGCGGAGGTTGCTGTTGCTATTGGGCGCCTTGCGGGCACACTTGATGGCCACCGCCTCGCCCGTGCCGCGGTGCCGCGCCTTGACCACCACGCCGAAGCTGCCCGCCCCGATCGCCTCCTGCGTCTCGTAGTCGCCGATGCTCCCCAGCGTGATCATCCGCGCCTGCTTGCTCTTGCGGCCGGCACCACCACCACCGGTGTCCGTGCCGTCGGGCGCCGGGCGCTTGCGCGTCGCGGTCGCCGCCGACGCCATGAGGAAAGCCCGGTCGGAGTCTTGGGGCGCGGGGGAGCAGGACGAGGGAACGGGAAAGAGGGGCGCGGACGGATCCATTGCAAGTGTCCGTGCCGTCGGGCGCCGGGCGCTTGCGCGTCGCGGTCGCCGCAGACGCCATGAGGAAAGCCCGGTCGGAGTCTTGGGGCGCGGGGGAGCAGGACGAGGGAACGGGAAAGAGGGGCGCGGACGGATCCATTGCAAGTGACGAATTACCATGGGGGGAGTGGCCTCGTCAAACTTTATGTAGGCTGCTGCTCGATTCCAATTCGGGCTCGTACATGGCTGTGTTTGCGTGCCGTGCGCGCGGGGTTTCCAGCCAGCCAGCCTAGTGAGCAAGTTGAAAACGAGTGCACGCAAATACGACCTTACGGCCCGTTCCTTTCGCTGAAAAAAACAAGTCAAAACACTATTCTAGCTAATTTATTGGTAGAGAAAAATATTGTTCTGACTGAAAAAACAAGCTGAAAAAGACGGATTATAAGATAAGCGAAGCAGAACCTACATGGCAGATCTGTGCTCTGACACGTGGAGAATAGGCAACTTGCACAGGGATATAAAAGAATTAGGGCCCAGTGCTAAGGGTCTGGTCGCTTGAACTTATCAGTCGGTTTATCAGCTAGAATCTACAGTATTTTTCTCTCAAACAAAATAGTTTCAACCGATTTATCAGCCGGTTTTAATACCAGCCGAACAGACCTTTAGTACTAACTTCTTTATGTTGTCACGAAACTGATGGGCTGGTCAAACATGTCTTTTTTTTTCTCAAATACTATGCTCGGAGAAAATAGTTTCCAGTTTGGGTTATGTCGAATTACAGAACTTGAAGCAACTCCTCTGTCCTCTTACCAACATGCAGCGAGGACCAGTACAATCGATCAAGGCGACGTGCACCTGCCGTGACCACATACCCATGTATCCGCCTGCGTTCACAATTTAAAAACTTGAGCAAAGTTGATTGCATTTTTTAGATAGCGGACTACTTCGTGTACTAAACGTAAATATGGTCCCCATGTCAAAAGCTGGACACTAAAATTTAGAAACCCCACATTCACATCTTAAAGATTCACAAAATTGATTAAAATTAATACAGATGACTCATTATAACGGATGGCTACTTTGTGGATATTAGTATGGTTAGATATACATGTGGGCGTCACATCAAAATTTAGACTTAGAATTAAAAATCTAGCATTCTCAGTTTAAAATTTTTAGTAAAATTAACTAACATTTGTTGCGGGTAACCAGTCGGTACTTAATATCTGATTCGTCCAATTCCTCCTCATACCATTTTCTACTAATTTCTATTAAGAAGAATTTATCTGTACCCTACTCAAATGAGATAGTTAAAAAGAATTTATCTGTACCCTAGATAGGTAAAAGTTTGAATGATTAATGAATACCCACCAACTATACTATAGCTGTAGTAAGAGACCAAGCCCTGTTGAGGACTTGAGGTGGTGGTTGTTTTTGTTACCGGCGATTAATCCTGTTTGTACCTGTGCAAAAGGACTCGAGGTGGTGGTGTTTTTTGTTACGGGCGGTGGTGGTTTTTGTTACGGGCTATTAATCCTGATTGTATTTTATTTTGCAACCTTATACGACCTTCTAGACATCGAATTGCTGCTTTGTATGGGGTCTTCACCTCTTTTTCTCTCTCTAATAAAAAAAAGATACACAACTCTCCTGCACATTCGAGAGAAAAAAAAGAATTTTGAGTTATCTTGAAATTTGAAACTATTGATCTAGAAATCGTCACCACTGGACAGAAGCTTCACAAGCGTAGTAACACGAACAAACCAAAATACAAGCGTGTGCCATTGAGATATAGAAAGTAGACGTTCAAAAAAAGATATAGAAAGTAAAAGAGGCTGGTAACAAGACCACGGATACAGATTGTTGCAGTGCCCCCTGTGTTTCCACCATGTACTTTACAGTTGCTACGTACTAAAGATAATAACATTCCAGCACCATGAAAGTCTCGTCCCCTAATTTACAGTAAGATAAAATCAAGTAGCACAAGAAAAGAACGAACTGTCTCAAAATCATATATAAGCAACAAAACTTGCCAAAGAAACAGTCACCGCCACCAAAAATTGGTGCCTGTGCTCAAGCGCCCAGTGGCTGTTGCGGGAGTACTCGAGTCGGCAGCAGAGATCTTAGCTGCTCACTCCCAGGAAGCCCATCCTTCAAACGACTGAACGCTCCAATGACTCGACTCATGCTCTGTCAGAGTGAACATCAGTGAACCATATGATTAGTAGGTTACCAGAACAAAATTAATTCACTTAAAAGTTACAGCAATTCACATGCAGTAAAAAGCCCAATTTCATATAGAGACACAAATGTGTTACTTGGCAAAAATAAGATTATATATGTGAGCTGTGATTTGACTAGAAAAGTCTAAAAATGAGTTAGTCCAAGAGGAACCGAGGAAGCAATACATCCAGTTCAAAACAGAGGTCTAGGAAAACGTGGTAGAAGTCCTCAAGGTCAAAATAATACCTTTGTGCAAAAGATTTTATTCTCTCTAATCAGTTAAATGAACAGATCAATCAACATCTGGTCAGCAAAACCTAGTACTGTCAAGAGGGGATGTGTATTCAACAAAACGTTCTAGAGGACACAACATCTGTCAATGAAACAGACTTGAATGAAATGGGACAGCTGTGGAAATGTTCAGACTGGAAAACAAGCGTTCAGTGAGTTTGAGTACATGGATTCGTCAAGAGAACAATTAGCTCAAGAAGAGTGTATGTGGATGTTCCACAATCAGAAGCAAAATTACTGAACAGAACAACTTGGTGACAAGCAAAAATGAACTAGGTCTAGCAATCATAAAAATTGCAAAATGCAAACATCCAAAATAGGTAATATAACTTTGGAGTTGCTATCCATTTTCTTAGTAAATAAATTTAAACATATCAGAAGCACTTTGAACCAAATACAGGCACATGAATCCTTGTGTAGTCATTTGTCATCAGTATTTCATGATGTACCCTTGACTTTATAAATTTCAGCTTTATCTATGAGCATGGCCAAATATATTACAAACATACAAGAAATACGAGTAATGGAAATATAAAAGACACTCCTAGCGAAGCTTCTCCAGATAAAGGATAGATGGCATACCTCACCACTGACACTGAACTTAAATTGATGAAGGTGCCAATGGTCCTGCTGCCACCTCTGACCCATTACAACAAAACCAACAACAGCACCAGCTGCCACAACAGAGCAGACTGTAGTCACTCCTTTTATATGATGAAATAGATAAGTGGTTTTCCTTTTCCACCATCTTTCACAAGGAAGAACAGCCTTGCATGTCGTATGACCTTTCTCTCGCTTAGCATTTATTTCTGTGGGGTGGGAATCTGGTACGGTAGCTTCACTGACAGCAGGCAAGTCACTGTTGTCAGATAGATTTTCATTACTTATGCCATCAATTTCTTCAGGTGATACATGATACCAGTCATCATCGTTATTTCCAGCACAACTACTTTCCTTTCCATCGCTGTTTGTATTTGATTCATCATGCTCTGGTTCTATTGGCAAATTCTCATGCTCTGGTTCTATCGGCAAATTCTCATGCTCACTTGGAGGGAACACAAAGCCATCTGACATGACTAATCCAGTTTGTGTGCCTTCCTGAATATTAATCACATCCCCATATCCAGGCAAATTAATTGGATCAAATCCTCTTCGGAATAACGGACTAGCATATATTGATGAAGACAGGGATAGCATATCCCATTCATCAGCCACAGGTGACACTCCAGTGACCTCATTGTCATCTGCCATGCATAATAACCTATCAAAACACCAAAAACTTGATATTAGATGTCAAAATTCAGAAGTTGAATGCTAGTGCAGATCATCATATTGTATCAATGCATCTCATAATATATGCTCATCCACAAAGATAATTCATTCGTATGGATGTTTTAAGTCATGAAAAATAACTGCTGCTTCCCAGTTGTAAGCTTGTAGCAAAAGGGTAGGACTAGTGGCAGAAAGAGAAAAAAAAAACATACGCTAATTAGCAAAGACCCATCCCCAACCATCATCACCACCACATTATGGTTCATATGTTCACTGCTTCACTTACTCTGTGGCTTTAAAGCCATCCTGTACTTATTCACTTATGCCACTATATGCAATTAGTGTCTCCACTATGATCCATGTTTTCACAGTGCTCTCCAACTTCCCTTCACATCCTAGTAGCTTACCTCGCCATAATCATGCCTGGCTGTGTTGCAACAACACCTTCCAAGTCCATCAAACTGATATTCCAACATTCCTAAGCGCAATCACACGTGATACCTCTTCTGCCTATGTCTACATGACTACATCACACCAACAGGCAAGGGTCTTAAGTGAGACTTTCTGACAGCTAGCACTGACATCTGCATTAACTTTGGAGGATCGCAGGATAATCTAAGATGTCCCTTAAAATTCAAGATCCAAGTTGCAAGAGACACTAAATCAACAACACCGCGCATATCAGGAATATCATCTCAGACTAGGCAACTAGCTAAATTTCTTGCACAAAGACTCTCGGATGTCCTAACACTCCTACCTAACCATTCAAAGACACGGGCATGCTATGATATCCTATCCTGCAATGGGCTTATCGTTATCCTTTGTTTCACTTGCTAAGACTCTTGTGATATCGGTCATGCTATCTGCCCCGCTTGAGCAAATTAGGCTGCAAAACCTGCCACGGCGTCACAGAGGTAGCACGGACAGTGAAGTCCCACATTCAATTCAGTTTTTTCAGACGATATTCTAGTGGCTGGGCACAAAGGGGCAAAAGTCGTCTCAAGCAGGAAAAGAAAAGGGAACTCCATGAGCCCAGAGAAAATTCAGCAAACAGCTGGGGTACGCTTAGAGAATGAGCAGCATGGAACAACTCTTCTGCACACAAGACCACCTCAGAACGTCGTGGTAGCAGGCTAACAGCTACGGCAAGCGAGAATTTTTCTCCGCCCTACTCAACCCGCACCAAAATCACCAGAGTCAGTAGGAACACGACCACCCTAACGCCCTCCCCCGCGCAGATATACATGCCCAATACGGCTCGCATCCAACAACCAGCGGGGGCTAGCTAACCCCAAGCCCTCGTCGTCCAGGGATATGATTCCCACCTGCGCCGTGCGGGGAGCCCGAGAACAGATCAAGAAGCGCGCCGCTGCCACGGCGAGCACCACGCAATGATTGAGTGAATGAACAAGGTCCAGATGGGTGTGGGTCAGAGCAAGGCCGGTACCTGAGGTGAAACCGACGCTGGTGGATTCTCCGGCGAGGCGGGGTCGGTCGATTCCGCCAACGGCGGCGGCGGCGCGGGGTGATTGAGTTGGGGGTGGAGCCAGCAATTTGGCAATGGCAATAGGAGCTTTTCCTTCTTGTTTTTGTTCCTCCGTCACCCTTTGGGGCGTTGGAGCCTTGGAGGAGACAGCCGATTACTCCTACAACACGAATTACAGTACTACTAGTACCTAATCTTTTTTCTCTAAAACTTTGATTATGTCCAGATAATAATAACCGATGATTGATGGATGGCATGGCAGCAGGGATTCGGGTGTCACGGTGGGCCCCACGCATAGGGACGTGATTTGGACATGGTGCCACGGCACAACCGCACAAGGCACATGCACACCCGAGTCTAGAATCCCGATCAAACAACCGGCTCATATGCTTCAATCGCAAAAGTACCAGCAAATTCTAAGATTTTTACTGCCTTGTGTTTTTAACCGTAGACGACGTTTTCATCCGTAGACCACGTTTTCATCGACAACGAGATGTCTACGATGTCTTTGTCAATCTTAAGAATTTATCGACCTAGTCTTCAAAGATGCTTATATAATAGGATTTACGTGCATGTGTTTGTGGGGTGAGTGTACATACGTTGTAAATGTTTGTGTTGTACTATGTAATTTGCAAAGCTCACCAGAAACACATATTGTTGTAGGAGTGTGAACCCAACTAATAATAGACACAAGTTCCTTAAAAGAACTAATACACAGAAGTAATAATCCTTACCTACACCATAATGTCCATCCGACAATAAGGTAGGGCTTTCGTGCAAATAAAAACAGACATCCCAATCTCACGCAAGAAGTTTCTCAAGTGTCAGAATTTGTGTCCATCACCATCTTAAAGAAACAACAGACATTGTGAAAAATGTCATAATTTTTAGCTCCGAATTCTGATCTTGATTTTTTCAAAAACTTATTTTGAGGGCCATCTGTCCCAATCAAGAACAAGCCTCACGATCAACAAATGCAAGTGTTATGCCATGTGTTTCTATCATGTTAGAACTCAGGGTGGGCGAGCTACGACATTTGCCAAATTGATGTAAGTTTGTTACATATGCAATTTGTCGGGGTTGTAACCCCGAGTGTCTCAAGACACCGACTAATTAGCGGGCCACGTGGCCCACAACAATCAGCTAGCAAAGGACCCAAACGATCGGGGCCCAGTTGAGCCAAGCGAACCAGTGTAGGGTCGAGATGGCGGACTAGAGGGGGTGAATAGTCATTTTCTAAAATTAAACGCGTCGGCTAACCGAGATAAATACGGAATGAAAACTAACAGTCTAGCCAAGGCTACACTCCTCTATCTAAGTTCACAAGTCCCTTATAAAGATCCTAATTAGGCAATAAAGGTGTCAGGTTAGTTAGAGCTCACTTAATCAATTCTAGTAGCAAAAGCACAAAGCTTCTAAGCTCACTAACAATGCTCAATAACAAGGCTACACAAGCCAAATTAGAGAGCTCAAATCACTTAGCTAAATAAACTAAGCAAAGTGACTAATAAAGTTACTCAAACAAATTAGTTACGCAAAGGAGCTACTTCTATACTACACAAGCAAGAAGATAACTAGCAAACTATACAAGTCAACTAATTATAAGACCAACTATACAAGCACAATATATGAAATGTAAATAAAAGCTTGTGTGTAGGGGATGCAAATCAACGGGAAGACAAGGATGACATGGTGATTTTATCCCGAGGTTCACGTGTTTGCTAACATGCTAGTCCCCGTTGTGTCGACCGTTTGCTTGGTGGTTCGGCGGCTAATTGGCATCACCCGCCAAGCCCGCACGTCGGGTACCGCAAGAACCTACCCCAAAAGTGAGGGTAGCTCAATGACACGCTCAACTAGAGTTGCTCTTCACGATCTCCGCGGGGTGAGCACAACCCCCCTCACAAATCCTCCTTCAGAGCACCGCACAATCTTCTCGCGTGCTTCAACAGAGTCACAAGCCACCAAGCTATCTAGGAGGTGGCAACCTCCAAGAGTAACAAGCACCACCAGCTTGCAACTCGAACATCTAGTGCCACTCGATCCAACCTCACGATGCAATCGCACTAGAATTGCTCACTCACTCAATCGGATGAACACTATCAAGTTAGAGTGAGTTAGAGGGTTTCAAGCACCACCACATAAGCCACTAAGGCTCTAGTGTGCTCAGCAAACGGCCCAAGGCTGGCCACCACATCTATTTATAGCCCCAAGGGCTAAAAGAGCCGTTGCCCCTTCACTCGACAAAACACGCACTGACCGGACTCGCAGGTCATAACGACCAGACGTGCAGGTCACATAGTCCGATCGCTAGTATGACGCCACACGTCCCCTCCTTTCAAAGCCGACCGTTGGGCTCCAACGGCTAGCTCCCATGCATGTATACTCCTGACCGGACGCGCCTTGGTCCAACGACCAGACACGCCGAGGCCGAGTCGGTTACCAACGCATCTCTGCACAACTGACCGGACTTACCTTTCTCCTACGATCGGACTCGACTCTCCCAGAGTCTGGTCACTTTAGAGAGGTTCTAGAGAGCTCTTTTGATGACCGGATGCGTCAGGTCATCACTGACCGGACTCTCCATGCGTTCGGTCGCTCCTAGACGCGTTAAAAACACTGACCGGACGCGCAGGTCGTAGAGTCCGGTCTTGAACATTTCAACGCTAAAACGGCTATAACTCTTAGCTCCGAACTACGAATTCGATGATCTTGAACATTTTGGAAAGCTTACTCAGAGGGCTACACATCCCACTTGCATATTTGATCCAAAGCACAATGGATCAATGCATAATTCCAATCCAAGAGTCATCACATAGTTTGGAGCACATCGAAAAACCTTTCTCTCTTCTTCAAGTTGATCCAATTCAACTCCAACAACTTCTCCTTAGCAAATGTGCCAACACCACCATGTGCATGTGTGTTAGCATTTTCATAATCATTTTTCAAAGAATTAGCCACTCAACTTGCCACGCCACTCGATCCTAGCAACGATGCAAAGTTAGATCACTCGAGTGGCACTAGATGACCGATATGCAAACAAGTTTGCCCCTCTTGATAGTATAGCCATCTATTCTAAACCCGGTCATAAACTTCTCTATACACCTATGACCGGTGAAATGAAATGCCCTATAGGTTATACCTTTGCCTTGCGTATTCCATTCCATCTGCTCCAATGTCGATGCAACACATGCACCAACACGATCAATAATGATATGATCCACTTCATATCATCATATGACCTTATTGGTTCATCGATCTTGACCTCACTTGCTCTTCACCATTGCATTGGTCCATCGGCACCAAGTCTTTGTTCAAGCATCCCGCCACGCGGTCTAGTGCTTCAAAGCCTCCGACTTGCCCTTCACTCTTGCAACGGGTCCATCAAGGCAAGCCTCATCTTTATCTTCTCCACCTTAGTCACATGACTCTATGTTATGTCTCATATGCAATGAGCTCTTTCATTACATATTTACCTGTGGACTAATCTCCTGTGTATTCTCACATAACCACATATTAGTCCACCTAGGTTGTCATTCAATTACCAAAATCAAACAAGGTCCTTTCAATCTCCCTCTTTTTGGCAATTGATGACAACTCTACAAATATATAAAAATTAAGCTCAAATGGATTCATGTTGCTTGTCCAAGCAATTTACCATGTGTAAATGATTTTAGACAAGTACCACAAACCCGAATTGGTAGTATTAGCTCCCCCTACATATGTGCTAGAGTGTTTGGTTTGAAGCTCGCACATATGCATAGATAGGAATTGTGGGAGAGTAATTACTACCAAATGATGCTAAGGTGTAAAGAATAAACCTTTGAAGTGTGGTACCAATTGGAGTTGCACTTTTAACACCGTCCTTAGCACCATGGTTAGCTAGACATCACTTGGAAACAAAAACACTAGAAACCTCCATGAGATCAACGTTA